AAGGAATTCTGTGTGGGCCTTGATGGGGAGCTGGTCTTACAGGAGGGCAGTGGTGTAGGATACCAAGGATGTGATCCTTGGAGCAGGCTGTCCTGAAAGGGTGAAACAGCAGAGACACATGTTGTGGTGAGCACCTCATTGTATCCCTAAGTGTAGTTGGACACAGCTCAAGGTCCATGTCTGAGGGATTGATCTTTGATTATATTTTTTAGATAATCTGCATAGTGTGAGCATCAAGGCATTTAACTATGTGATTTCACCATCCAAGGGAGAGCCTCTGCATTGAGGCCATCTCTCAGTTTTAGGAGTGTGGTGACCCTTGGTGCCTCTTTTTAAAATACTACAGAACTCAATGTTTTAAAACCCCTTTGGAGTTCTAATATTTGTGCTATCTTTTTAGATACTATGGGAAAAACGAGCTGTTCTGTGGTTGCATGATTTCAGAGTATGGAGATTTTTCTCGCAGGCTAGTGATCATCTTTATTGGGGTGGGTTCCAACTGAGGACCCTAAGCTGACGAGAGAGCAGCTCAGGGATCTGCCCGGAGCTCCGGCTTCACCTCAGCTGGGCGCACATTCTTGTTCCACACTCTGCCTCACTGATAGCAGGGCACATGTGACTGGCCCACATGGCAGTAGCAGACTTATGCTGCCATGATCTCCAGTTATAAACCTTGGGTGAAGGGCAAGAATTACTGTTCTTTGTTTTTGTTCTGAAACTGTAGATTTTATTCAAAAGATGTTATGGTGAGAGAAAATCCCAAGTAGGGAGGTGTCTACCTCGGTGTCCCTGTCACCGTGGTGTGTGTTATCCTCTGCTCCGTCGGTCGGCCTGCCCCCACTGTCCCTGGCTTCTGTTGGTTGCACTACAAGAGGGTGGAGGGGAGGCGCAGGAGGTAGTTAGCAGCCCTGGGAGAGACCCGGGCTGTGGGCTAGCCTTGCACACCTTTCCTTCAGGTGGGCAGAAGCTTCTCTTGTCAGCGATGGGTCTTCAGTGGGATTGATGGCATGAGATAAGAAGTCCAGGAAGCTCCTGTGCTGTATTTCAGCATTGTTGACAGTCTCATTTTAACTCTTCTGTGGTTTTGTGTTCCTTTTAGAACATTATGTGTGTATTGCTAGGTTTGACTTGTTTAGATCAGCTGTAAGTGTGTGATTCAGGTGTGGCTCAGCAGACTGAGTCTTCAGTCACAGTGTAAAGTACTCCTGTGGCTTTTTGGTACGGAACATGACAACCGCTGCGTCATGGAAACCTGCTCCTGTGGCTTCTTGTCAAGGAACACGTGGCACAGTCGTGGGCAGACCGTGATCCTGGTGGCTTGTGGGGCACCTTTGTTTCTTGTTTTGATTTCCCTTGTGTCATGTTGGACCTGGGTTCTTAAAATTCTGTCCTTAAACATCCTTTTTCCACTTTTTTAGCATGGTGTGGGAGACATTTTCAAAAGGATCTTTACTAAAAATACATATTGGGAAAGTACAGCTTCTAATCTTTAGAAATCCAGTAGAAACAGGAAAGGGTTTCACTGAAATCTGTCATCTCTCTTTGTTCTAAATTAGTTCTGTCCTGACTGTTTTCTTGACAGGCCAGTGTTCCTGGAGCCTCCCGCCAGGTGTCCTCTCCTCCTTGCTCCTGTTTGCCCTTTGCCCCTGGGGCAGGACCCAGAAGTCTGAGCAACCCCTCATCTCTTCTCTGAGGACAAGCAGCAGGATGGATGCCTTGATGTCTTTTTTTCCCCTTATTTCAAACCTCCAGGGTGGTTCTAGGCCTCTGCACACGTTTCTGGTTTCTGGGTGAGGCATGTGCCAGTCCCTGATAGACTCAGGTGGGGAGCCCTGCTTCACCTCAAGAACATTCCCTGTGCTTCCCTCCTCAGAGGAGAGGTTTGTGGGCATCTGCCTTCCTGAACAGTGCTCACGGGGGCGCCGGGCACAAAGACTGTGTCTGCTCACCCTCCTCGGCATACCTCACCTGCAGCTGCGGTGCTGCCGCGGATGTTAAAGCGAGGATGGGCCTCACCGAAGGAGGCGGAGGCAGGAGGTCCCCTTGGTCATAGGCTTCAGAGAACAAACATGCTTCCATGGTAGAAACTACTTCCTATAGTTTCATAAAGTCCAAAGCTGTGCAACCAAGCTTTGTGTTTTTTCTGTTAAAGTAACTTAGGAGTCTCTTGTGTTCTTGTCAGCTAAGAGTGATTTTGCTCTTTTTCCATTGGGTGGGTGGTATCAGAGAATAAAAAACAAACCAAAGATACTTTATTGACAAAATTTTACTTAACATTCCTGACTTAAGTTCAGATTTAATTTTTTAAAAGCTAAATACGTTTCAAAGGTTTTTTTAAGGTCACGATACTTTGTCATTATATTTTTATGCTTAAGTAGGCATGTTTACTTTTAGAAGAGCTAGTAGAACTATTGGATCTATGAACCAGTTTGTATGAAGTTCTGAGGAAATTTGCGAATATGCCTGTGCAGCGGGAAGGCACCAGGGCGCTCCTCCTTAAGGAAAGGCCCCCTGGAGCCCCAGGCGGTTCGTCTGCGGCTGTAGAGTGGGATTCTGACCAAGTCTCTCCGAGTGCGCGTGCGCTGACTGCATTCTGCGTGTGTGTCGGTGCCTGCTGCCTGGCAGACGGGGTGACCGGCTTCCGTGGTGCTCTTGCCGAGCATTTAGCGCCTTCCTGGGGCTTAAAGTGTCCTGACCTCGTTCACCAGCGTGTCTGGTTGCGATTTCTCTCTCTTGGCCAGGGCTTTTATTCACTGCCACTTTATAGGCGTGCTGTTTTGTTGAATTAAAACGAATAAACAAGAAAACTACTTACATCTCCTGGATATGGTTCAAGTTCTTTGATATGGCTCATCCTTTGTAATTTAGATTGTCTGTGTGTTGCCTTTTGCCCCCCTTTGTTTCTCTTTTGTGTCATTAATAAAAAGTCTAATCCTCTTCCTGTAATATAAGCTTTTTCCTTCCATGTCTTGTGTAGTTTCTGTTGCTGCTGTTCATGTCTAGGTACATTTAAACCTGTTTTTCTTTCATATATCAAATCTTTAGATTTGTTTTTAGAGTCAAAACACAGAATTTTGCATTCTCCTTATTTGTTGCTTTGGAATTGTGTACCACGGCCAACATACTTTGTTCTCTGTGAAGCCACGTTACCTTTTTGTTCTGCGTTTGGTAGCCCTAGGTTAGAAGCCTGTACACTTTTTTGATTTACAACCCTAATAGTTAAAAAAAAAAGAACTCGTCCCCCCATAAACATCTGTCACATACTTGCCCCGGTGCACATACACATCCATTACGTACATCGTATGTGTACGTACTTGCATTCATGTATTCAGCTGCTTTTATTGTGTGGCTACCATGTGCCAGACACTGCTCCAGGCATTTAGGATTTAGTGAACAAAACAGAGCCTTTCTTTCATGGAACTGACATCATAATAAAAATAATAAACAATAGACATTGTCAGTAAATGAAATAAATATATAACATGTCAGAAGGAGTAAGTGCCATGAAACAAAGGGCAGATTGAGGGGGTGGGGCACAGGGTCTGCAGTTTGAACTTGGGGAGGGGAGAGGAAGCCTTGTTGAAAGGAGACAGGGGAGCGGAGACTGTTGGAGGAGGTGAGGGAGTCAGCCAGGTGGAATATGGGGTAGGAACGGTCCAGGCAGAGGCATGGCTGCTGCAGAGACTTCGGTGTGGGAGGATGCCTGTGTGTCTGGCCCGTGTGGCTGGAGAGCAGTAATGAGCAGTGGCGAGGGGCAGTTGGGTCAGAGAGAACGGGGGTGAGGAGCGGTGGGAGGCTCCTCCGGGCTGTGGTGGGGAGTTGGGCTTTTACTCTGGGTGAGATAGGAGCCATCGCAGGGTTTTAAACAGAGAAGCTGCATGCTCGACTCTCAGTGTAAGAGCCCCTGTGGCTGCTGTGATGAGAGTGGACTGTGGGAAGGCCAGGACAGAAGCAGGGTGCCCGCCAGGAAGCAAGGGGTGTTGGTGATCATGCCCGGGCGCTGGCAGCAGGCAGGGGTGAAAAGCTGTTGGACGGAGATCTGGTCGGAAGATAGTAGGATTGTGACCCAGGATTTGAGAGGAGGAATCAGGGATGCCAGGTTTCTGGGGTGAGCTGCTATAGCAGTGGATGTGGGGTGGGGAAGGCTCAGAAAGAGCTTTTTTGCAGGGAGGGATAACGAGCTCTGTTTTGACTGTGGTAAATTTAGACTTCTTGGAGTGAATAGGCAGTTGGATATGTGAGTTTGGTGTTCAGGAGAGTGGACCGAACTGTGAGTGTAACTGGACAAAACTCAACTGAGGACTGAGCCCCGGGACTCCAGTGTTGGGAGGGTGGGAAGAAGAAGAAGGCCATTAAAGAAGACGGAGTAACAGGAAGACGAGGGCCTGGGGCGCTTGAAGGCCAAGGGCAGGAACTAGATCAGGGAGGCCCGGTGCTTTCCCCGCTCCCGGGGCGCGGCGGACTCACAGCCCGCCGGGGAGGTGCTGCTGGTGTGCTTTTCTGCCGTTCAGCCATGTTCTGGCATCAGGATTCAGTGCTATAAGGCATTTTTTAAATGAAGTATAAATTCAGAACAACACATATACTTAACACATAGATTTTTAAATAGTAACATTTTACCACATTTGTTTCAGACTTTTTAAAAAGAAATAAAAAATTAGAGCTGAAGTTCTCTTTTCTTCCCAGATACCAGTCCGCCCCTTGCCTTCCCTCGTGTTGGCGCACGTGCTTCCATTCTGTGTCATTGTTCTTGTCGACACCTGCGCGTGTTCACTGATTCACGCGCATTATACTGTTTTCTGCTTTAAAAATGTACAACAATGGCATCATACTAGAAATACCATTTCTGAACTTGCCTTTTCCAGTTTGTCTTGAAGCCATTCATGTTGACACGCGTAGGGCATTCACGGTATCGTGCATCCTGTGAGCGTGCCCGTTTGTGTGTCTGTCCCCGAGGTGACTTAGGTGGTGGAGGCAGTTCCCCATGTTTTCTGTTCCAGCAGCGCTGCAGGGAGCACCCTGGGACCTCCTGCTGCCTCCAGCCGCCAGCTGGTGGAGGGCGCGCAGCCTCGGCTTCGTGTTGTCATCAGCAGAACAGGAGAGCAGACACTTCCTGGCTGGCCAGTGCTTGGTATATTCACAGTTTTTATTTCTTGCCCACCTCAGGCTTCCTCTTTTAATTTACCTTTCCCTGATACTTGTGAATGAGGCATCTTTTCACATATTTATTAGCCATTTGAGCCTCTTCTTTCTTCCATTTTTCCCCCTTTTCTTTAATGGATTTCTTCATACGTGGTTTACTAACTTTTTTTTCTAATGTAAACATTGCAAAACCATCTCCCAGTCTGTCTGCCCTTTACCCTCCCTCATGTTCTCTTACACAGGTTGGGGTGGCAGGTCGGTGGGCATGAGGGATCTTTGGAGTGATAGAAGTATTTTTAAATTGGATTGCTGCGATTGTATGACTGCAAATTTACTAAAAGTCATTGCATTGTACACTTAAGTGAATTATGATATGTAAATTATACTTTAATAAAAGCTGTTAAAAAATTTTAATGTCTTACTCAACATTTCCCATTGTGGTTTGTGCATTTTATGTCTTATGGAATTTTCCCTAATTTATTGTCAAAAGGCATTTAAATTTTTTCTAATTACCTTCAAGTTTTATTTTGCATATTTAGGCCTTAATATGTTGGGAATTCTTATTTTTTAAGTATTGTTGGAGGGATAGAATTTTATCTGTATGTAGATTGTTATTTTAGCCCCTTTTATGACATGGCCATCTTTTTCCAGTTGATTAAATGGAAATTTAAATACTGCTTCAGTCACAGATAACACCTCCATGTCAGTGGTGTCTTTTCCCAGGATCCTTTCTGGTTGATCTCTTTGCCTCTCTTTGCAGAGTATCACACACTATCTTGATGGCTGTGACTCTGCTGCCAGGGAGGGCCAGCCACCCCTCGCCGCTCGCTGGCCTTGCGGTCTGGCCGCAGGGTGCAGCTTTTAGTCTCTCCTGTGCACATTCATTTATCCAAGGACTTGTCAAGTTCCTCAGGAAACTTGAGATTTTGATGGAAATTGCATTGCATTTCAATACAGAGCTTTCCCTCTCAGGAATACAGTATGTTTATGTACTCTTTGAGGTCCTTTAATAAAGTTTTATCATTGATCTGGCATAATTTATATTTTTGTGTTTTTGTTTTTTAGTTTTTTTGTTGTCTTTTTGGTCTGGCATAGGTACTTTTCTGTCTTGGTTGCTGTTGTGAATGGTGTAGTCCTCATTTTCTGATTACTTTTTGCTGGCTTGGGGAGGAATGCTATGAATTTTTCTCCTTGTTATTAAACTCTAACAGCAAAGGCCAGGAATTTGCATGCATAGCTGCTCAGTGTTCATAGCATTCACCTGTGTCCCCTCCTCCTAGGTGCCCCTTCTCAATTGGTATTTTCCCAGAGTGACTGCTGTTTTCTCCATTATTGTTTTGGATTTAATGTCAGTAGAATCCTATTACGTGGTCTCTTCAGTGCCTAGACTCTTGCTGCACCACACCTGTGCTGTGTGGCAGCAGCTGCTTTTTTTCTATTTCTGTGTAATATTCCCATGTATGAATACACCACAGTTTATCCATTTACTTTTTTTTTTACAGAATTAAATATCTCATTTACTAATTTACAAACTATAATAAAACCTGAAAGTCATCTCACCTCACCAACAGCTTTTGAAAAAGGAAAACAAGTTAATATACAAATTTCAGCAATATTGGAAACTTTATTTTACTTCAATAGACACAGTTCATTTTAGAGTTCAATTGTATGTTCATGGCGTAGTTACTATAACCAGAAAGTCAGCCTAACTATCTCTGCAGTGTGAATTCATATTCACGTGTTGCTGCTCAGCAGTGAAAAAGAATTAACTTAAGAATCTCACTTTCTTTTTAAAAAAGGCTGCAGGGTCCTTTCCATTTTATGCAGTTCAATGTGGAGCCAGAGTATTTTAAAGCAAACAAAGGAGAAACACACTGAGACCCCTATACTGGGGCACACAGACTCACAGGCAGGGCCGTGGGGCCCCTGGCCTCTGGCTGAGTGATGCATCCGTAAGCTGACAAAGTTTTGACCATTTAATGGAAACTTGCAGTGGTCCAGAATAATCGATTCAGACAAAACTACACTGTGTGCACTCTGAACGTGGACTGCCGGGGTGCGGGGAGAGGACCGCTGCTGCCTGTTGCCTTGGCCCCTCTGACTGCAGCCCCCACCTTCGCAGAGGACATCTCTGTGCTGCTCCTTTTCCTCGGGAGTCAAACCTCTGCTCTGCCTGTCAGGGTGGTGACAGTGGGAACCACATGCAGCTGTCAATGACAGTCCGACCAGCCAAGGCTGGCCTGTGGTTATAAGGTGTGTAATTTGGCTTATAAGACAAAAAAGGACTAAAACCGCATCTTGTATTTAGAGTGTTGGAGTCACCTACTGGATCGTATAATTTTAGTCACAATGTAATTTTCAAAACCCAAAGCTTAATCTTGTCCACGGTATTTTTTAGCAGAATGAAGCCTAGCTTAGTGCTGTTACCCTCCCCGCCTCCCCTCTGCCACCCTGATTCGGACGTTAATGCAAACAACCCAATAAAAACAGACATGGTGATCGGAACTCAGTGCCCTGTCTACTGTAATGCGTACATATTAGATCATCATCCATTTTCATTTTCAAGATTATAGTCGTTAGAGAAGAGCTTTACTAGAAAATACTGAAATGTATCAGGCTTCCCCAGTGGGAATTTTCCTATTTTAAAACATTTTAAAGTAAAATAATTTTTTGATCCAATATACACAACGCTATACACTATTCCATAGATACGTACAAGAGCCTTCTCACAAAAACAGGATCTCTACCAAGTCATCACAGAAATGCTGGAGTCTCGTCAGAGAAGGAGCAGGTGCTTGGGGGGCAGAGCTCAGGCGCCGAGGAGCTCTGCTGCGCCAACTGCCCCGCCCCTGTTCCTGGGGTGAAACCTCTGTGCGAGGTGATGGTGTCAGGAGGCGGTGCGGGCTCTCTAGCGTGTTCTGACAGGACGCACTGCCCGGGGGCACAGGCCTGACGGGCAGAGGGCACGCCCCCTCCTCACCGGTTTACATCATGATTGCTCACTTGCTCCTGTGTAGGAAGAGCCCCAGCATGGCTGGTGACCATGTCGCACTGCGTGATCAGAATACCGTGGTGACCGTGGTCCTCCTGGCCACTGAGCAGCTCAGAGGGCTGAAGGCAGAGGTGCGATGAAAAGCCACAGAGCCTCTGGCCACGACGGCCAGGCGTGGGAGTGCCGGGGCTTTACCTGACTGGGAGGTGCAGTTGTGCCCTGGCTCACAGGGCGACTCAGTTGCGATGGTGTCTTCTAGGGGCTTCCTGACGCTTCCGTTCTGGGGTGGGGTTGGGCATCACTTTCCCTCAGGTGCTTCCCGGGAGACCAGCGCATGGTTGGGGGCCAGGAGCTTCTGTGTTGGGAGTGGGGGTCAGGTGCGGAGTGCTCAGCAGGGGCCGCTGGTGATCGGACTGCTGTCCAGGGGCTTAGGGAGGTTCCTTGGACACTGATTCTTGCCAGAGAGTTTGAAAATGTTGCCTTTGTAAAGAACCTGTCCCACAGAAATGTGGGGAACTGATACCTGGCTCTTGATTGGCCATTTGCTGCTCTTCTCCTTGTTCAGCTTGGCAACAACTCCAGGAAATGGCTCTAGCCTTTCCCTTTTTTTTTCCTAGTCTCTTAGTATGGTTTTAAGACTGTTAGGAAGAAACTGCCAAATGAGAAATGGCAGTTGTGCTTCAGGATCAAAGAACATTTTGGGAACTAAGGGGGAATTTCTTTCTCTGTGTTAACTGCAAAGCAAAGTGATTTTTACAGGGGGGATAAAAGTGCACATCCAGGTGTTTTTGAGTAGATAAACTTGTGAGGTCTTTATAACATGCATATCATTGTTTGTAAGTTTTTTCTCCCCTGAATAAGCTCTGTGATACTTGGAAAGGACAATGTGTAGCTCTTTTTTTAAATAGAAGTATTTTTATCAGTCCAGTCTAAATATCATTGTTACTATGGTCACAGCCCAAAGATTTTGTTGTAGTGCTATACTTGAGCAGTGGGAATTTCAGAGAGTGGGTTTATAGGAACCTCCACTGTATTGCACAGCAAACGGAGAGCCTTGGCTTATGGCCACCGAGGGGAAAGAGTACCATTTACAGTTTCCCTCAGGGAAACCTTTGGAGTCACTTAAAAAACAAAATGTAACATACTGGTGTGGGTTTGTTTTTTTTCTTTTTTTGTCTTAACTTAACCCCTGGCAGTGAAACCAGACTCCCCTCATGATTTCAGTTATCTGACATTATTTTTGATATTTTGTTGCTTTTAAAGAATTCACAAGTTTTTCTTTCTGCTAGTAGTTCATTAATTTCCGTCTAGAAAAGACTGAAGAAGCTGTTGTCCTCTTGAATGGCATAAACTACTTGAAATGAGGTTAGTGTATTTGCAGGGGACAGTTTGCAAAATTTTTGAGGATCAGTTACATTCTGGAAAGTGGGATTCGACCCCATTATACTGAGATGCAGCTGTGAAGCAGTGATCAGTAAGGCCCTAAAGTGGCAAGAGCGTTTAGCTCCTTTTAAGGTCTGCCTCTTGTTGGGTCATGGGAGAATCGGTGCTAAGCTAACCGTTTGAGTAGTTGGACAGGTTCACCCCTACTTAGGAGAGAATGAATTTTCCGTTTGTCAGGTTCTTTTTTAGTGTCTTGATGCCAGTCCTGTGGACCAGGTGTAATTCAGATTCTCAGCCTGGAGAGCCCTTTAAAGATCACGGAGCTACATTTCTCTCCATGGGGCTTGGGGAGAGTGTGGCCTTTGCCTTCAGCGAGGGCTTATTCTTCAGCTGTTGGGAGTGCCCTTCCTGTCGTCAGGAAGCCCTTACGAACCTCTTTTTGTGCAAAGTCTGTTTTAACTGGAGAGCTGGGGCTTTTGTTGCAACTAGTTCTGCCTTGACGTTTAGGAAGGTTTTGGCTACAAGTGACAGAAAACTGTAATGCGACTGGCTTAAAGCAGGGAAACTGATTTTTGTTACATCCGAAGATATCCAGGACTTTTCCTACAGGATCA